CTTCATAATCACTGCAAAAAAAGGATGAGGAATTAGCTTGGGATGGACAAACAGGGGGGAAATGGAGTGGGGAAACGAGTGACCCCTTCCAACATATAAACAAATAACTAAATAAATCCTAAGGACACTGGGGTGAGGGAAGCAACCCCTACGGGGTCAGTGCAGGAACAGATAAATCTCCCTTAAAGACGCCATGCTTCTCCATGGTTAACCTCTTAATCAACCCCAATCGGCCAAAGGAAACAGCAAAGCCTAAAAACTGTCAGCTCAGACCACTATAAAAAGTAAACATGCTCACACATTCCCTTTGACACACACACACACACAAACAAACACACACAAACACACGTTCCCTTGGATTTTCATTTATGTCTGTCTCTGTGTTAGCCTAGTTCTTGAAAACTACACTCCATGTAACTAGTTGGACTTGATCACATAAATAGAGAGTCCAAACACCACTTCTTGTCTCTCTAAGGGGATTAGCGAGGCCCTGTCGAACTGGTCATTCAGGTCACACTTCTATTTTCACCCCACACTCAGCTTACATACCTGATCAGTTTATGGACACCTTTCTGAAATGGGTCATATATAGCACAGCCAGAAGAAGCATTGCATTGTGGGCCTCTGGCATTGTCAGAGCCTCCATAAATGACTTTGCATGTTCTAGGCAATCCCATGCGGTCATGTTTACCCCCCCCCCCCCTTATCCCTTAAACCCAAACCTGACCGCCAGTTGCTGTGGTCATCTGTCACTTAAACATGCAAAGGTATTGGTTCATTCATTTAGGACTAATTCATTTGACATGGGTTAGGTTGGTATGAGCTGCCATACCAATTTCAATCATCAAGTTACAGCTAAATAACAACAAAAATTACCCTAATTTATATTCAGAAATACAATCAGAAGTTGTATTGTCATCTTAGTAAGCAATTATCAAAGGTCGTTCAAATCAGGTCTCTTTATAGGTGTCACATCTTTACCTGCATTGACCCTTTTTTGCACTGCCTCTCTTGCACTGACTATGTACACACACTGGACTCTACCCACCCACACACACACACACACACACACACACATGCACACCACATATGTCCACACACACATAACATGTACACACATGCATACTGACGCCACACACACATTCACACCACACCCACTCACACACACACACATAGCCTATACACTTTCACACTCACTACATATGCTGCTGCTACTATCTATTATCTATCCTGTTGCCTAGTCACTTTATCCCTATCTATATGTACATAGCTACCTCAATTACCTTGTACCCCTGCACATCCAATCGGTACTGGTACTCCTTGTATATAACCATGTTATTTTTCTCATTGGTATTCTTAATCACTGTGTAATTTATTCCTTGTGTCAATATTTTGTTTTATTTTATTTTGTATCTTTATCTTAACTCTGCATTGATAGAAAGGGACTCATAAGTAAGCATTTCACTGTTAGTATACACCTGTTGTTTATGAACCGTGTGACAAATAAATAAAAATAGAATTTGATGGATCATTTTTATGCATTCTAATTAATCTGCCATGGAAACTGATCCAATTTCACAAGTTCCAAATGTCAACAGTACACTTAAGTCAATGAAAACACAATTTACAACTAGTATTGGTCTATCTACTTATGTTGAAGAATGAAGGAGGAGGAGTACATATAATATGCATTAAAAAATGTTGAACAATTTTGGTTGAACCTCATTAAATGTTGCTTTGCTCAATGAAATTTATTGGAAAACTCCTCCAGCCTTCCTCATAAGCCTTCAGTGTATCGAATTACACCCTAATTATTAGGCCCCCAAACCAAAAAGTGCCCTTGGTCACTAGCCTATAGCCCATGGAATGCTCTAATAGCGAGTCAAGGGGCTAATTGGAAGACAGGTAAGGTTACATGTGACAACAATTATGCCTAGCGCGAGGCCAACTTTTTCGCCCGGGGCACTTGAAGCACTGCACTCAACTTGGCTAAAAGCTAAGTGGGGTCCCTTCCTCTTCGCGCTTTTTTCCTTTGGGGAAATCACTTCAACGTTAATGAAGTTTTTCCGTTCCCGTAGCTTATTTCTGTGAATGTGAATAACCCAGGCTGCATTTCGTTTATACTATAGGCCTACTGAATATTTGGTTTTACGCATGGTTGTCAAACCAACCTGCACCTGCAATAGGTTGTCTAATGACATTGTAATGAAGATATTTTAATGATGAGTTATCCTCATTATTGAAAAACTAAAAATCATAAAAGCAAAATGTGTGTAGCTTTGCATTTCTGAAAGTGCACAAAGCCTTCACGACACACATTGTTCGGTATGTTCTGGTACAACGGTTCAAACAGCATAGTTTGAACAGTTGTACAGTCAGAATAGTTTTAACGAGTTAATGTCATTTCCATTTGCGACAATCTATTGGCGGTATGCGAGCTGACTTTTGGCGCACACCGGTTGGGGACAATTAGGGATTATTTCCCTCTGCATGTTATGACACGTCTGGGGAAAGAAATCTACTCACTGATCTGTTGCGAGAATACATACAATGTTGATGTTGTCAGAATTGTCAGGCTTAAATGCTGTTATCAACATCTGACATTTCAGGCCGGAGTTAGAAAATATGAAATTGTGTTTGAGTTAGGCCTATAGCCTACCTTCGATATTGACTATGTTCAAGTCACAAACAAGTGGCTGTTACCTATACTACTATTAATCAGTGGTGGAAAAAGTACCCAATTGTCATACTTGAGTAAAAGTAAAGATACCTTAATAGAAAAAGACTCAAGTAAAAGTGAAAGTCACCCAGTAAAATACTACTTGAGTAAAAGTCTAAAAGTGTTTGGTTTTAAATATACTTAAGTATCAAAAGTAAATGTAATTGCTCAAATATACTTAAGTATCAAAAGTAAAAGTAAAGTATAAATAATTTAAAATGTCTTATATTAAGCAAACCAGACAGCATGATTTTCTTGTTTTTTAAATTTACAGATAGCCAGGGGCACACTCCAACACTCAGACATCATTCACAAACGAAGCATGTGTGTTCAGTGAGTCCGCCAGATCAGATGCAGTAGGGATGGCCATGGATGTTCTTTTAATAAGTGTGTGAAAGGACAATTTTCCTGTCTTGCTAAGCATTCAAAATGTAACGAGTACCTTTGGGTAAAAATTACATTATTTTCTTTAGGAATGTAGTGAAGTAAAAGTAAAAGCTGTCAAAAATAGTAAAGTAAAGTACAGATACCCCAAAAACCTACTTAAGTAGTACTTTCAGGTATTTTTACTTAAGTACTTTACACCACTGCTATTAATATCCCATGACCCAGGCCTAGGTCATCAAATTCCGCAGAGTGAAAGGTTGAAAACCTTGACTATTTCAGCTGAGTTTACTTTTAGTCTTCACATGGGATTCTGCTGCTGTCAATCACAATGGTCTTACTACTCCTCAAATGACAGATCAGGACCTGTCTGGAAAAATAATTAGGTCCCTGCTGTTTTCAGCTTGAAAACCCCATTAGAGAAAAACACAGTAGTCATCGTTAATTACTGCTATGGCCTTTTGTGCATTGAGATCCAGATGGCAAGTTTAGCTGCACAACAAACTGACAAAATTAACACTCCATATGTGTCTCTTGGTGAGAAGTTTGTCACCTTGGTTTGGAACAATCGATAATCTTACTGTGAAAACTGTATAGCTTTCAGCACGTGGGCATAACATTAAACATTCAGAATTGCATTGTGGTATCAGTAGGATATACAAGTAATTAAAACATTTTTAGAAAAGTAAATTAAAGTGGGGATGATTGAGTTGAAATGGCCATCAAATAAACAATGAAAATAAAAGCTACGTTTGAGTGGAAAAGTTTATAAACACTGATGTTTGAGGACATATTTGACATAGGCCTATTACTTTGATAAATATATTTGACCCTTTGAGTGAGGCCTAACAGTTTTGGTTTTTAGATATAAAAAAATCAAGATCTATGTCTACATTGATTATTGTATACAGCTACACTCCGTTATACAGTAATGACACAGCTACTCTATCAATCAGAACATACTGTATAGCTAATCGGCGGCTGCCCAATTGGAGAGTGCCTTACTTCTTAAGCCTCCCCTGGCCAATTGAATCTGTCCGTTCATGCGTAAATCCATTCTCAATGAGAGGAGGGGTCATGCCTTATATGGTAGTTCTGGCCTTATATGGGGGGGGGGGGGGGGGGGCTACAAGCACGGCTGTTTAGTGTCACTTTCACCAAATTCTAACTATGATTTTCAGAGATGGGACCGACAGCCGACGGGTGAAGTACATGATTGGCAAAGATATCTGCTTGTAAACATACTGCATCTACCACAGAGCACTCCATCCATGGTTTATCGACGTTTCTTTTCAGACCTCATCGTGGCGCACAATATTAGAGGAACGAAAGCAACTTTACTTTCTGGATCGCACGTCTGTATGAGTTTACAAGACAACTTCGATCACATAATTGCGTAGAACTATGGTTAGTATTGTGTTTTTGGGATTGAGAGAAGATTTTGATTTAGTTCAGTTCGAAAATTAACTACAATAAGATTCGAAGCAGTCAATATTCATGAAAATGACACTTTAACGACCACTTCTCCAGTGTGTACATGCTGTATTGATAGTCGACTTTTCAAATACACTCAACGTTTTTGAGAGAGCGTGTTTATGGATTTCTGCGCAGAGCAGAACACTGGCAGTAGGCTACATTCTTAAGTAATAGTCATGTTGATACCGTGCTGTCTTCGTAAACTTTGATAGAAGTTTACAGAAGATACGTTTATGACAGGGACATTTGATTAACTAGAGAAAATCTATTTGAGAATATATTAAATACTTTTTGGAGGAAGTGGGAAGCGCCTTTTCGCCCTGCCTTGTTTTCCTAAGACGTCAGAACGGATTCTTATCTCCTCCCCGCGCTACGGAATTGGACTCGTATCTGTTGTTTAACCAAAGTGTTTTAGGATAGCATGGCAATGGTAGTAAACCAGTGGCAAGAGAACATTTCGGCGGATCCCGGGTCCCAGCTCCAGATTTGCAGTCAGGAGCCCGGCGGGACACCGGGAACCCCCTCTGGTTCAACCCCAGGGAACGATGCACTTTCCGGGGACAAGATCCCCAACGTGGACTGCATGGTGTGTGGGGATAAGTCCAGTGGCAAGCATTACGGCCAATTCACCTGCGAGGGCTGTAAAAGCTTCTTCAAGCGTTCGGTGCGACGGAACCTCAGTTACACATGCCGGGGGAATCGCGACTGTCCCATCGACCAACATCATCGGAACCAGTGTCAGTACTGCCGACTGAAGAAGTGCCTCAAAGTCGGCATGAGAAGAGAAGGTAAGACAGGATTTGAGATTCGGTGAAGACTGTAGCCTTTATGTAAATGTTGTAAACTAATAAAATGATCAAATTGGGTTTTGGCGGACATTTGGTTTCAAGAATGTCGTTGCGTATAGTTGAAACCATATAGCGCTTTAACGATGGATATCCCTGTCTTATATATTTCCCTCTTCTATCAGTCATAGTTATCCTAAAAGCAATTGTAGTCTGCTGTAACGCAATGCTTGTTGTTTCAGATCGCCTACCCTTTTATTCCCTATTCAGTCCATAGTATGCAGTTCTTTTTCTCCCCTTGGAAAAGGGCTCTCTTTGTTTCCCAATTAATTCTGGTGTTTGCTCCCCGACACCCTATCCGCTACAAGAGGGCCCGCTACATGTATTGTATTGTGCATGATTAAGAACGGGTCAATTAGTGCGAAAGATGAACAGTGGCAACGTGTTCGCAAAGCACTGCGTTTCACTTTTAATCAGTCAGCTAGGATCTTGCTGCGTCATGTTCAATCAGACGAGTTGTGTTAATTATAACACGCGAACCAGACACTCGAAATCCTCACAAAATCTCTGCACATGCATGTCTCCATGCTGGACGTTGCTATTGTTGTACTCTGTATTTTATGCATTACCCACCAACAATACTACATTTCTCTAATCATAAATGCATGCATCGCTGTGCAGTGTAGCCTACTCTGGAGTAAACCTTGTTAGCATATTGCAATAGGTTTTATCGCAAATTATATACTGTAATTCTTGATCAACCTGGCCACTCAAGCTGTTGTGGATACTCCAAAAGGTCCCTATGATATGACCATAAACAGTGCAAATAGTGGCACAAACAGTACTCAACAGGAAGCACGCTGTGTTGAACTTCCAGTGTGAGTGTGTCAAGCAGGCAGGCCTATTACAAACGAGGTCTTGAATACAGTAGCCTCCGTCATAATAAACGATTCAATACATTTTAGGTGGAAATACCCGTCCTATCGCCGAAAAGAATCATTCAAGGGATCTCGTTAGTGTGCTAGTGTGTACACTGTACACAGTTCATGTAAAGCACTGCAGGGTAAATTTAGTCGGCCATGCCCCTTTCTGACTGAATGAACCCGAGGAAATCGCCTGACACACCGAAGTCTGTTGACCTTTCATCAACATAAACATGCTCAATATGTTATCAGATCATTATTTGGCTACATTATATATTAACTACTGCAGATAACATTTTGAAAGGGATTTGTTAAGCTATGCTACTATTATATGGTCTAGACTAATATTCAGCATAAACACGATTAAAAAATCTATAACTCTTTCAAGTGTTGATTAAATTGGTACTGGTATATCATACGCAAAACAGACTCGTCCTCATCGTGGATTATAAACCTAAATACGTGTCCTCGTAAATCTCAGTGCATTTGAGGAAAATGTAAAAAAAATCGCACTTCTTTAAAATGTTGAAAGTGTTGGTTTTAAAGCCCTGGGCATAAGTATTTTGGATATACCTAATTTTCTAATTGACTTTAAATCAATAATTATAATTGAAATGTTATGCAGAGTTGTGTTGTACCACAACCAAGTGTTAGCAATGCTTTGAAACGGCAACCTTTGTCAGATAGTACATCAAACATATTTCATTGTTTTCTTTAGGCCTACCAATAATTAGGTTTTCAAACACCAAAAGAAAATCAAATGAACTTTTTAGTCAGATTGTAATAACCAAAATAAACTCCAGTTATAGAGGCATTATTTGCTGTGAAATAGGCTACATATTTGTTTCTAACTCGGCAATAGGGCCTAAGATAAAGTCCTGCTAACAATTTGCCCTGAAAAGTTCAGAGGTAGCCTAATGGTGGGGATAAATTGTACACATTTAAATGCAGCATTGCAATCACATTAAAAGCTTACTGGTAGCAGCGAGGAAGCAGTAAGACTACACACCCAAATCTCCTATTCGTCTTCCCCAGAGGTCATACATAAGTCATGTTACTTCTACATAATGCAACAGGGTCGGCTGACAAGAGGAGTCCATTGGGCTTTCTGAGTTATAATCCGTGTGAATTTTGGAACATTTTGGAAATACACAAATGTACATTTTTGCCACGTATATGGATTTGAAGTAATCTCAAATTGATTGTTGGAACTATCAATAATTAACTTTGTAATAGTTATTCACAAACGTGTGTTTGCTCTTGGGTTAAAGCAGAGGGCAAATACTGAGGACTATCACTTCTATAACAGTCATCAGAAATATCTTCTTTCATTTTCCAAAATATAAAGAAACCACTACAAGGTATTGCCTACTTGTGTTATGCAAGCCAGGCACAAAATAATAATCTAAATATCACGCTATTCTCGACACATGGATTGGTAACCAGTATTCATGGATGCCAAGGGAAGCAAGGCGTCCCAAAAAATGTACCAAGAAAAATAAATATACTGAACAAAAATATAAATACAACATGTAAAGTGTTGGTCCCATGTTTCATGAGCTGAAATAAAATATCCCAGAAAATTTCCATATGCACAAAAAGCTTATTTCTCTAAAAAAAAAAATGTGCACACATTTCTTTACATCCATGTTAATGAGCAAATCCCCCTTTGCCAAGATAATCCATCCACCTGACAGGTGTGGCATATCAAGAAGCTGATTAAACAGCATGATCATTACACAGGTGCACCTTGTGCTGGGGACAATAGATCCCGACCTGTGGAATCGTCTGAGACCAGCCACACGGACAGCTGATGCAACTGAGGAGTATTTCTGTCTGTAATAAAGCCCTTTTGTGGGGAAAAACTCAGTATGATTGGCTGAGCCTGGCTCCCAAGTGGGTGGGCCTATGCCTTTCCAGGCCCACCCCATGGCTGCGCCCCTGCCTAGTCATGTGAAATCCATAGATTAGGGCCTAATTTATTTATTTCAATTGACTGATTTCCTTATATGAACTGTAACTCAGTAAAATTGTTGAAATTGTTGCATGTTGCCGGTACTGGCAATGATTATAAAGGCGATTCTGATCCAACCATGAATTCATACATTGTTCCCTTGGCCTGAGAGGATGGAAGTTCAATATGTAGCTAGATGTAAAAGGCTAATGTTAAGTAGCATGTTGCCCATGAAAGGAAGTTAGACTAGCGAGCAAACATTTTAGCCAGGTAGCCTAGGACAACAAAAAATAAAAGCATATACTGTATGACAAAGTGATAGACTATTTCATCAACATGAAAGAGAGGAGGATGGCATTGGCCTTTCTCTACAAGTAGGGTGAGTCAACATGTTTTTTCTACTTGCACGAATGCGCACGCACGTGCACACACACACACACACACACACACACACACACACACACACACACACACACACACACACACACACACACACACACACACACACACACACACACACACACACACACACATAAATCAGAACCATGGACAGCCACATCATATTTAGCTTACGATGATTGGACTAAATCATTTTTGGTATCTTTTAGTTGTCACTGTATTACACTAAGCATAGGTGATTTGATGATGTTGAAATGTTGAAGTTGAAATGGTGCTGGAATAGTGGAGGCAGCTCCTGTTTTCTTTGCGATTTGCGGTAACTCTCCGTGGTTCTAAATCAATAGTTGTTTAGTGGTCCGAAATGTCGGAAACATTAACTGCTTGACCATGCTGTAGGTCATGTAACTGTTTGTTACATGCAATATGCTTTGTGGACTTCACCGGACAGAGGTTGCTCTCTGGTTTTGTGATTAAACAAAGGTGTGGTTGAATTTATTCTGCCACTGTCTCTTCTTATTGTCTTGGCCTTTAGGCCTATATATCACGGTCGCAAGGCATATGAACTAACAGGTTAAATAGCAAACAAAGCAATTATCACAACACATAGGTTGTAATATGGCTTCTTTTCTGGCTTCCACAGTGATTTTACCCACGCACCGCTACTGTTGGTAACATGCGTAAAAGTAACGTATTGATGGTGTAGGAGGATTCTGCCAGTGAAAACAAACAAATAGAGCAGAATATCAGCAACAAAGCATAGAAAAACAAACCTGACAGGTTATGTTTGTGGTTAGGCGGGCCTTTCTTGTCGACCAAGTTGGTGCCCTGCATCTCCCGTCCCGCTCCAAAAATGCACCACTCCCTAGTGGCAAAATTCTGTAAAACATGGCAACGTTTTAGTAAGGTACAAAAAGTGAGTGAGTAATTTAACCAATCTATGCAGTAACTTGCTCCAAAATGTACTACATATACATCTGCATTATTTAAGACAAGTGTCACATTCGCTGGTGTTGTATGTGTCTAATTTAGGAGTGTTATTTGGACAGCCCAGCTGATATTTTGGTTGACCCTTAGTGTGTAACTTGACTGAGAGGTCACTCTATTTCAGCCCACATAGATATCTAATATCTCGTGTTAAGGTAGATTTATACTTAACAGTCATGTAAAAGGTAATGTTTACCTCTTCACTGCTCTACCTGTTTGGCACCTCTGGCATCTCCTCTACTCTCCATGTTTCTCAATGACATTCCTGCTTAGAGTAGAACACTGGTTTAAGGTATAAGGAAGTTGTGAGGGAGAGAGAGACAGTGAACGTGCACAACTGGCTGACAGTTCCTTGGGCTAGTTGGGAGTGAAGTGCATATCATGTTCTGCTGTCGGAATTTTCCGTATGCGCTCCTCTGACCTTAGTGAGACCAAAAAAGACCAATATAGACTGTGATGTTGGTCAAATTCACACGTTAGAAGAACACACCATATACTTGACACATTCACAATTTTACATTCACAACTAACATTCCCTACCAGCTACCACACATAGTGACATGGGCACAGATACCAACTCACATAGTGACATGCACCCAGAGATTGGCATGGGCAGGCACACTGTCCACTAGAGTACATACTCTAGATCAGAGGTCTCTAACCTTTTCTAGCATGAGAGCTACTTTTAAAAAATGAAACGTGTGGCGAGCTACTTATTTTTTTCTAGCTATATTTTCTGTCAATATACCTGGTAAAATAAAGGTTAATAAACAACTCTAAGGGGGGTCCTATAGAATCTGTTATTCTTTTCCCAAATTCTATTTTTATATATTTTTTTCACTCTCAAAATTGCAATTGTTCATAGAGAAACAACGAAATTGGATGTTCTGAGTCCATGTCAATGCTTAAATCAAATCAGAATACCATTTTTTTTAGGTCTGGAATAAAACAAAACAAAAATGTGGGGGTGTAATTCCCCTTTAGTTGTGTATCTGGCCCTTTAATTGTGCATCTGGCCCTTTAATTGTGCATCTGGCCTTTTAATTGTGCATCTGGCCCTTTAATTGCACATCTAGCAAGTGAGGATTGTGCCATCTAATGTGCTGGTCTAGTGATGGTTCTATACCGCTAATGCTCATTTCATGGCAAAGTTTTAAAATAACAAATAATAGATACAAATTATATACTTACTCATGATATACTTCTTCCAGGTATGCCTACTTTGCAGTTAACATTTAATTGAGAAGGTTTGGGGGAAAGTATTTCTGTCAACCTACAAGACGGTTATCACATCAACTGGCTACACACGGAGTGACAAACGCACGCACCACACAGACAGACAGGGGCAATATTGCTGGAAATTAATTGGCAGATATTGTGTTAGGTTTGGCTTTTTAAGCCAATAGTGGCTAACCAGAGGTGGGATAATGTCAATGTTGCATTGATTAGATAGTAGCTGGGAGCTTGCGGTGTCTGATACTTGTGAGATTTGTTTATGACAGTTTGCCGTGGAACACGTGAAAATTGCATGTACTTTCAGAATTGTTTGGCGAGCTACTCATAGGTGGGCTGCGAGCTACTGGTATCTTGCGGTCGACCTGTTGGAGACCCCTGCTCTAGATTGTTCATAGTAAATACATAGTTACGACTGTTCATAGACAGAACATTCAAAGACAGATTATCTCCATTGTGACTCCTAGTGTGTGTCCCTCAATGGTAAATAACACAGGGAAAGTCCTGGATATTGATATTCAGTTACTCATACATAGGATTATGAAACACATCACTCTATATGAGACTCGCTGCTACAGCCATTGACCCTTGGTTCACACAGACCAAATACAGAGACAGATATACTGTAGGTCAACGAGAACCAGAAACGAAACATTAATAATGGACATGTTCAAGGCAAAGTCCAAATGTGAGGTTGACTCTCTATTGAGTAAATACCACGGCTCGCTAAATGACTGCCTTTATTGACTAATCCATGCACGTTGTCCAGCTTGTATGAGCAGGCAATCAAAAACCGAGACTAGTTTACCCCCTAAACCCTGGCCTGCTAAAACATTCCCCTATTACAATACTGTCATAGTTTATTGACATGTTAGAATAGGTCTCTTTACGTAAAGCTACTAGGCTAATTCACTCTCCCCAGTCCAAGGTGGCTGCCATTATTCATTGACAGAAAGCAGCCTCCATTGAAGTGATAGGCCACAAAGAGACCATAGAGCTGAGGCACTAGTCGTTTCACATTCTGATATCCCCAAGGCTAGGATTTAATATTTTAGAGGAGGAGATGTGTGTGGAGGACTAGAGTTCACTCTGCAGAGATGGGCTTCGTTTGACACCTCAAGGTGAATAGACTCACATTGCATGTCATACTGTCATATTTCTCTGTTGAGTCGCTCATTTTCTCTCTTGTCTGTATAATAGCCAGGCTAGCCTATTGCCACAATATGAAAGGCTAGCCTTTACAGTAAGTCTAGCGTTATCCATATCCATGTCCATTGTTACATTTTGAAGTATCGTATTGTTTTTGAGTCCAGGTGACTTTACACCAATTTTCTTGAGAAACAGCCATTGAGTGTTTAACTAAATGTAATGAAAATGATTGAGTCGCTTGTATAGTATAGCTTGTTGTGTGATCTCTTCCATTGTAGAAATAGATAGACTAGAGAGATGGGTGAGTAGAGAGATGGATAGAAAGCCAGAGCACTCCTCCATGCAGGGTGCATTTCTGTTATTAATTCATATCTGCTTCATCAAAGCAGCGCCAACGTGACTGGGTGGATATTAAAGGGGCTACGTTTGCAGCTAATGTGTCTGAGCGTCCTCACAGGAAGCTCTCTCCATCTCTGTCTGTCTGTCTCGCTCTTTTTCCTTGTCTCTTCACCCCTTCTCTATTCCTTTCCATACAATATCATACTTCACTCTGCCTCCTTCCCTCTTCCTCGCTCCCATTGTCTATTTCAGGGGTTCCCAAACCTTTTCACTCGAGGCCCCCCTTCCAGCATTGGGGAACATCCCGCGTCACCCCACCCCCCATATATTTTATTGTATATATATTTTTGGGGTGGGGGAGTGGTCTATTTCACATCATCCCCCTATTTCTTAATTTTCTACTCTTACACTCACCTTCATTCTCAACCTCTTTTTTTCTCTCCTTTCCTCTCACCCTTTCATCCTCTCTTTCTTTCCACGTCTTTCTCACAGCCTTGGCCCCCCTTCCTCTGTGTATTTGTAGTTGACTAAGGGTAAATGGTTTGACTTTTTGTCAGGGGGTTGGTGCTTCACTGTAACCCTTGCGTGCAGCGTGTGAGAGCAGTGACCCCAGAGGTCAGAGTTCAACCCAAGCTAAATGAGTCTGTGAGAAGCACAGGAATAACACATGAATGTCACATCACACACTCATCATACACTCCTCTCTGAGCGGGCTTACACAATACACACTGCTTTACTGTCCAAAATAAGCTATATTTGTGTGTCTGTGTATTTGAATATTATCTTGTGTTTTTTGTTAGTGGACCTTTAATGGACTACACAAAACCCATATACCACTTATCTCAGTTAATGAAGAGGCTATGCCAAATCTGTCATGCTTCTAGTGCATAACCCCCGACTATGACCTTTTACTGTAGCAGATAGTCCTTAATTGTATTTATCTACAATAGTTTGCTCAACTGTCTTGTACTTCTAGCACAGTGACTTAAGGCCAAATAAGGACAGCCTTGGTGGGATGAGGCGTGCTTAATTCCACCGCCACACACTCTCTGTGACTCGCTGTGGTGGTGTTTTTTAAATGTCATGGCTGAAATCGCCAAGGATACCTGTTTCGTGCCCTCTTCTCCCCTCTGCCTTATTTTTGTACCATGGGGTTAGATGTAGTGCCATGGTCTTTCTGTTTGGGGTTTTAGGCACTTTAGTTGTTTAATCCCACTGTTTGCCAGTACTTCTACTGTCAAGAGATAGTGGATTTGGTCTGTCCAATCACACTAAGCCACCGTCGACCAATTAGAAACCGGGAAATGGATTATGGCAGGCTTTAAAATCTGTCTCGACATCCCCTCTCTCTCTCTCTCTCTCTCTCTCTCTCTCTCTCTCTCTCTCTCTCTCTCTCTCTCTCTCTCTCTCTCTCTCTCTCTCTCTCTCTCTCTCTCTCTCTCTCTCTCTCTCTCTCTCTCTCTCTCATCCAATGCCACTCACTATCTTTCTCCCTCTCCCTTTTACCCTATCTATGCCCTTCTCTCCCTGTCTCATTCATTTCCCTTGCTCATTCACATAGAGATGCTTTGGATGCGTCATCTCGACTCAAGCACTCAAGCACTCACACACAACCTCCTCAAAGAGGCTTTTCAAAAGACAAGTGGATGGAGTGGATTTGGCGTCTGGTGGATTATGGCATTAATCATTATGATGCATTGATTATTTTTTTAAAATTCAGATAGTCAAAACACACTAACCTTTAATGAAGGACAACCATGCTCTAAAAAAAGTGCACTTTCAACCCGTTTAAGCTAACTGGAATCTTTTTAAAATAGTTTTTCCGGAATTTGTTCAATTCTTTTGACGTAAGGTTTTTTAGGAGTGAGTTACATGGTAATTCCCATTGTGCAATGTTGTCTCTGTACCCTATGTTGTTGTTTGCAAAAGGAGACAACATTCTTTCCCTGGGACAGGAGTTGCTTGAGTTCAAGGGAAACCAGTATTTTGAGGTCACAAACTCAAATGTTTTTTTTTTGTAATCAGTCTTGAAATTCTATTGACTTACTGTGTTCTTGAGTGATTTGACCTGTCCTCTTTTTGCTACACTGTAGTGTATTACATTTTCACAGCTGTTGTGTCGAAGGACAGGTGATGCTGAGTTTCAAAGTATTTTCCAAGGCCTGTCCCACCCTCTCTCGCTCTCTCTCTCTCCCCCTCTCTCCCACACTCCTTTCTCTTGCTCCATGTGCCTCTCTATGTTACCCTTTTCTATCTCTCTTTCTGTCACTACCTCTACCTTCCCTCGACACCTCTCTCTTTCTCTCCCTCTCTCTTCCTCTCCCTCCCTTTCGCAACTCTCCTCTCTCGTCTCTCTCTCTCTCTCTCTCTCTCTCTCTCTCTCTCTCCTCTCTCTCTCTCTCTCTCTCCTCTCTCTCTCTCTCTCTCCCTCGTTCTGTGTAACTGTAGATGAGTTATTAATCAGACAGCGGGGATGACTGAACAGGTGTTTTCCAAATGGGCTTTGAGCCGCCGCATCATAGCTCGGCGGGTGTGGGGGGATGTGTGCTTAGCCTCTGCGTGCCCCCTTCCCCTTCGGCTGAGCCATTTGGCAGTGGAGTGGGGGGGAGCAAAGGTGTGAAGAGCCGTAGTGTCTTTACCGGCTGCTGGTTGCCATTACTCATTGATGCACGGCACCGGGGTCTGCCTGTCAGGAGACAGAGTGCTGACACATTTAGAGCCGCAGAAATTTCCCCCCGTTTCTCCACACTTTGCACCTCCAACCTCCACCGTCCTTCCTCCTCTCCCCATGCACCCGCCATGACATGTCTTTTAGCTGCGAGCCCCAGTGTGATTTGGCCCTATATATTCCCATTGAGAAAGAGCAGACTTGTCTGAGTGCCTCTAGATGGTGCTTTATGACACAGTGGTAATTGCAGCCTACTAAATGAAGGCGGTTAGTGCTGGATGCAGTCATGACGACGTGATGACAGAGAAGCTTCAGGTCCTAAATGTTACTGTAACTGTGCCAGCCTGGATTTAAATAAAGGCTAGGTGGATAGAGTACAGCCACATGAATGAATGAAATATGCAGTAGTTCTACTGTACCTACTGTACCTGCACCTGGCCAAACAATTAGCTTCTAGTACTTGAGGATTCACTTATACCCACGGCCTTTGACATATTACAAGACATATCACAGTTTTTTTGTGAGCCTTTGAAATGTCAAAAGAGGAAAAATGTATTTTGCTCATGAAAATCAAATGCCATATCTCCTTCTTAACCCTTTCTTTCTCTCTCCCTCAGCTGTCCAGAGAGGCCGCATGTCCAACTCCCAGTCCAGCCCGGGTCAGTACCTGACCAATGGCAGCGACCCTTACAACGGGCAGCCCTACCTATCTGGATTCATCTCTCTGCTGTTGCGCGCCGAGCCCTACCCCACATCCCGTTACGGGTCCCAGTGCATGCAGGGAAACAACCTGATGGGCATCGAGAACATCTGCGAGCTGGCCGCACGGCTGCTCTTCAGCGCTGTGGAGTGGGCCAAGAACATCCCCTTCTTCCCTGACCTGCAGCTCATGGACCAGGTGTGGAAGACCACCCTGATTCCTGACTAGAAACTATGCCTGACTATAATTCTTTTTTTATGCCTGACTATAATCTTTTTTTATGCCTGACTAGAAAATAGAAATGATGTATGCCTAGAGATGTGGTTTGGTCACTTTATTTGGGTAGTCCCTTATGGATGAGCTGTAGATGCTCATCACAGATATTGCCCAGAAAATATTGTCCAGAACAGATATGTCCATGTCTGCAATTGGTATGTCATGTAAAGGTTAAATTGTGGGGTCAGCAGCCTTTAAGTTTGGCCATATCATTAACACTTGCCATACTCAACCATCTGCATAAGGAAGATAAACACTGTTATCCTTATTTCCCAGAACCACCCTCTGTCAACTCTGAACTAACCAATCCTACCATAATTCCTCCCGTGCCCTAGGTGGCGCTCCTGCGCATGTCATGGAGTGAGTTGTTTGTGTTGAACGCGGCCCAGTGCTCCATGCCACTGCACGTGGCGCCCCTGCTGGCGGCTGCCGGCCTGCACGCATCGCCCATGTCTGCGGAACGCGTGGTGGCGTTCATGGACCACATCCGGGTGTTCCAGGAGCAGGTGGAGAAACTGAAGGTTCTGCAGGTGGACACGGCTGAGTACTCCTGCCTCAAATCCATTGTGCTCTTCACATCCGGTGAGTGGAGTCTGACTTTAGTGGTTTCTGTTTCTATATGTCGTTGTTTATGTCTATCTGTAGGATAGTTTGTGTTGTGTTTTGTGCGGAACTACATATTTAGGTAATGGTGGTCACTCCAGATAAGTTAGCAGACTTATAGACTCTCTACAGTATAGCATGTGGTTAACAACCAAGTGGTTAACAATGTCTTTGTAAACAATGTATCGATAATGTATGGATACCATATAAATATTATCATGGATGAACTACTTATATGAGGTAAAGAAGCGTAAATATTGGTGAAATAGCAATATAAAAACAATAGTTTGCTCATTCCTTTGTTACACCACTTTTGCCACTGTATGAGGCACAGTAGATAGTTATGGCTATTCTACGCCACCCAGAATGCTGTCAGATCTGGGATTGTGATGTGTTGAGGATTCATTGTTTATGACCCAGGGGGTGTGAGTGTGAGAGAACCCAACTCTGAGGTCTTCCACCTTTGTTTTTGTTTCCTGTCAATCGCCCTTTTCCTCGCCTCCATCGCACAGCTTGTCAGAATCACTTTGCATGTACCTAGCTCTGGCCCGCACTCTTCAGTTTGGATGGCTGAAGAACCCCTTCGCTCTTCTCTCTTTTATTTCATCACCCTCTTCTCCTTCACGCTACCATCTATTATTGAAACCAGTCAAGCAGCCTCTCCCCTTCCCTCCTCTCCAAACCCCAGCCCTCTCACCCCTGCCCCCACCACCATGCTTGAATTATTCATGGTGGGTTGCAGCGACAAGGGGGATTTGCCACAGCCCAGGCCTTGACCTACATAACCCCTGTAGCCCTGAGCATCCATGTGATCCGTCCCGCAACCCCAGCCAACACACACGCATACACACACACATGCATGTACACACAATGAGATAGACAGACTATTCGTAGACCAGGCCCCCCATCGAGACCTGCCTGCATGAGCTAACAAGGACAGACAAACTCCCAATACCCTCTCTCACCTCCGCCCTCAGACATTCCGCCCTAGATCCCAGTCACATCACCCCGAATCAAACAGTGGCCATCTTACGACCGCCACCATCCTCATCCCCAGTGTGTGTGTGTGTGTGTGTGTGTGTGTGTGTGTGTGTGTGTGTGTGTGTGTGTGTGTGCGTGTGTGTGCGCCCAAGGAGCCAGACAAAGGGAGGTCGTGCCTGTAAAGGACGCCTGTGGAGGTGTCGTGGTAGCACGTGAGGGCTCAGTCGCACAGCCAGCCCTAGCTTTGTCAGCCACTGATGCCTCACACAGACCCCAAAATGGCGGATAGCAAAGAAACTACACGCTTGCCCTCACAGTGGGAAATGTGGCAGAATTGGCAGTTATACCCCACCTGGGGCGATGGGGAGAGGGGGGGAGGGGGAGGGGGGAGACCTACGACAAAAATATGAGGCACATTAATCTTTTGTTATGCGGAACTGAAGCTCAGCAGGCCGAAGTTTGCGCAGGGGGCTGATAAAAGTCTACTGTGACAAAGGGACCAGCGTGCTGGATGAATCCAAGCCCAGTGCTTCTGCTGCACACTAGAGTAAAGCACTTGGGAGAAAATTACCCTCGCTGTTCGATGCAGCCTTTAAATTAGGTTCATACTGGGGACAGAAACACTGGTACAGTAGGACTTAACGTGCAGTACAGTACCATGCAGTACACTAAATGTGACTTCGTTTTGAGTTCACCCATCTCTGACCCCATAACCACGGAGCACAGGGGGAGTGAAAAGTATCACACGCAGTCAACACACTCTCTCTGTCGTGTGAGACTCACACCAGGGACTGGTGCTAGGGGAGGTGTAAGATCAGGGACAACACCTTGACCCACAACTGAAGGCAAAGGGAATTGTATTCCACTACATAGAATGACATATTTACATAGGGATACTGACATTTCAGCTCTAATGTGTGTACGTAGCTGGACACAATTTCACATTGTATGTCAGTGTGAGGTCAACTCATCAGAACCATAATGATCCATAAACTCATCAACGCCTAACCTTCCTCTCTCCTTCTCAGATGCCATGGGCCTGTCGGATGTGGCCCACGTGGAGAGCATCCAGGAGAAGTCCCAGTGTGCCCTGGAGGAGTATGTGAGGAACCAGTACCCCAGCCAGCCCAACCGCTTCGGCCGCCTGCTCCTGCGGCTGCCCTCCCTCCGCATCGTCTCCTCGCCCGTCATTGAGCAGCTCTTCTTCGTGCGCCTGGTGGGCAAGACGCCCATCGAGACGCTGCTGCGCGACATGCTCCTCTCGGGCTCCAGCTACAACTGGCCCTACATGCCCGTGCAGCGCGACCGCCCCATCTCCCTCCACTACAATGAGAATGGGCCCTGAGGAGGACGAGTCGCCGCGGATTCAGCTTTTCATCCATCCTTCATTGACCATCCCTCAATCCCTCCCTCCATTTATCTCCTCCATCCATCCCCTGGAAGACCACCACCATTCCGCCAAAAAGAAGAACTGACCACCTGACTATCTCACCACACCCCTCCCCCATTCACCAATCCAGCCATTCACACGCCTCTTCTCCAGGGGACCACGGCCAATAGAGAGACTTGGTGGCTGCCATGGCCCCTCCTACTTCGCCTTCGCCACGTTTGAGAGGTGACACTAGACGGGCCGGCTGGCAGAATGGTTTTTGCGCCGTTCTCCTGCAGCTCTGTCGGACTCACGCCGTTAAAGACGACTTTGTCAGTCTCGGACTGGAAGCGGTGGTGGCTACTGGCGACACAGTCACTCTATTGTCAGCACTGTGCTTGAATCTAAAGGAGACGTGTCCAAGAATCTCCACTGTATGGCGATTTAGAGCAAGGCCTTTGCTGATAGAACTGCTTGACCGAGAGAGCCAGGCCCAAGGTTATTCATCAACCAATTTTTTTTAAAGAAACCAGAAGCCATTAAAAAACGATGCCAAATTTCCTCAGAATTTTCAGAAGACATGTATTGTCCGTGTGTGTGTGTATTAGCACTGTTTATAATGAGAGAAATTCATGATTGTGTCCATATGTATGTCATTGACTCATAGACATCCATGTTAAGGGGTATGTTGGGACTAGCTCAGGTTCAGGGTGGGGGGACAGGACAGACAGGTCAGACATGACAGGACAGACAGGACAGGACAGGACAGGACAGACAGGACAGGACAGACATGACACTATCAGTAGGAAACAGAGAATCACGCCTCACCCAGGGCAAAACACCTATCAACAGCCTGTACCAAAGCGGAACATGGATATTAATTGTTTGGATTATCTTTGTGGTAGTGGTGACAAAAATAACTTTTGGTTTGTCCATAATTTGACCTTTTTCTTGTATTTAGATGTCAGAGGGTGTGGGAAGTTGCAAAAAAATATATTAAAAAAATAGGCACTTGCAATGTGAAACTATCCAGAACCCACACTTGACCCACTCCCATCATAAACACAGCACTGGTAGATTCTTCCTCAGCCGCCATTTTGAGGTCAAAACTACAGGGCCACTAACTGGTAATGGTCAGTGTACTTCTGCCACTGTTTCAAAGCGGAATATCATAAAAGTGGCCCTTCATAACGTCTACATAATGCTGCCATAGGAATGACATAACACATGCCAGTTAATGCCAGTTAGTTTCATGTCACAATCACATTTTATGTTTTTGTGAAAAATGAGAATTGTTATGGAGCCTGAACCAATAAGCATTTGAAAACTATAGTTGTACTTGCCTTAGAACAAGATTTTGTCACTGAGCATTTATTTTATGACTGTGCCATAATCTGAAGTTACCTGTTATGACAGGCAATATGTCCTCCATATGACATTGTCATGTAGGGTAGAGGCCACCTCAATTCAATTGTCATTCAAGCAGCATACTAGGAAATTGTATCACTAACCTCCAAAACCTCAATTAAAGTTACAATGGTCCCCTAAGAGGAGGGCATCTACTGTGATTTAGCGTAGATATTATTATGTGTTTTTGTTACCATCAATTGATGACGGGCTGTAAGGCAACATTGATTGTTGGACGACCAGTCTCTGTTTTTTAACGTGGCACTGGGGTATCAGCAACAATTATTGGGATTTGAAAGCCATTGGGACCTTGGAGAGCAGGACTGTCTGTTGATAAATTAGTTCACAGAATATTTCTATGAGAGTATGTTTTTTTCTCTATTTTTGTTTGGAAATATGGATCCATTCATTGAAATAAAAATATGTTGTTCACAGTTATTTCTCCGTCTTGTGTTGCTATGATCTCGCCACTTGTAAGACCTATGCGAACCAGCTAACATCCTACTCTATGAACGTATTACCTAATGCTGTTAAAACATGACTTGTAGATGTCATAACCAGTCATAGCCATGACTAACATTTTAGATGTTTAACTAGACTATCAAAAGTATATTCACTTCAAACACCATGACATATTCTGTCATTATGACCACAACATAATACAACTACTTTCTCTTTTACCAAAGAACAGGCGATACAAATCAGGTGATACACCAAGTCAGTATGAATTCAAGTGGCCATTTTAGACAGAGCTTATGACAGATGGCTCAAGTCATATGGGTAATTCCATGTAGTGCAGTCCATTAGGCATGAGTAGTAGTCACTCAGTGTGGTCAGTGTGTTTATCTCAAGCGTGTTTGGATATGATGGGGTACAGAGGCATGAAAATAATCTGTACTCTAAACCAATCAATGGATGAGAAACAAAGTGGGGGACTCCCCAGCTCTCACGGCAGGGTGCAGCCCAAATGTTGATACTCCCCTGCTGTTAGTGTGTGCGATAGAGTGTAAACAAACACTCTGACCTCTCACTTAATGATGTATGTGTGTGTTTGAGTCGGGGAGAAAAATAGAGGGAGAGAAAAAGAGAGAGAGAGAATCAAGAGAAAGTGTACACATGGTATTTGACCCCTCAGTTTAAGGTGGTGTGTGTGTGTGTGTGTGAGAGACAGAGACAGAGAGAGAGAGAGAGAGGGTGGCTTGGTGGGTGGGTACTGTATGTGTAAACAACATCTGTGGTCCTTCACTTGGAGTGGCAGCTCTGTGTCAGACTGATAAAGGTAAGAGAGAAGAGCTCACAGGTCCTCTGCCTCCCTAAAGACATTCTCCCCCCTCCCCCCTCCTCCCATCACACACCACACTACCCCACCCTGTAACCTTGTGCCCTTTACACCCCACCTCCCTCCCACCAACTGCCTTGCAGCCTTCTCCCTCCCCAGTCCCAACCCTTGCATAGCCTTGTTCTGTTCCCCTCCCCTCTCACCCTATCCCAGAATGGTGCATGTGGTGAGTAGGAGAATGACTTACGCCTTCATTTCAGAGCTGTCACTCCTGGCCAAACACCATGACCCCTCAAACCCCATTTTGGAGGCACACTTTTTTCCCCCTCCCTTGGTATGAATATAAAAAACACATGTGGCCCAAAGGTTTGTGTGTGAGTGACTGTGTGTGTGTGCGTGTGTGCGTGTATGCGAGTGTGTGTGTGTGTGTGTACTACTGGGGGTAAGGGTAAATCAAACCCTGACATGGCTGCTTTGAATGGCTTGAGAAGAATGACTCTTGCCTTCCATTTTGCACACCTGCCTTTTTACGGCGAACATTTCCACCTGCACATACCATCAAAACATGACTACATAGACATATGAATCAGTAGGTGGAGTCAACCATCAAATTCAAGGTTTTATAGTACTTCCCCATGTGTGAACACAGAAGTATTTAATTGAATACACCAATATTGGAACAGCATGGCAAAAGACCTGCATGCATCTAAGCAATCTGGAGGTTAGGTCTTACCAATTACGGCTCAAGTCAGAGGTTGGGATGATAAATACAATAACCCTGCCGATACATCACCCGTAGCCTGACAGTAATTGTTCCAGGTCCCATCGCCCAACTAAAACACGCAGGTGCCTCTATGGAGATGAGACACACAGGCACCAGTCACATGCATTTAACCCAGACACCTCCTCAATCTGTTATGACACACACTCTATATAGGGTTCTGTAGATGAGCAATGCGTATGAGGAAAACCGGCTGGGGGGTTGGTGGGGGGTGTATATTCTGATTCAGCCTGTGTAATTTCTATTTCAGAGAGGGGGATGGGGAGGGAAATGGGGGGGGGGGGGTTGTGCTTGATAAACAGGCCAGAGGTTTTTAAACGTGAACGTCAGCCATACAAGGACGGCCAAGCTGTCTGTCTCCGGGGGATACGACAGCCCAGGCCGCCATTGGAGGAGATCGATAGGCTAGACGTCAGATTGAATTGAGGTCACTCTTTGTCCCCTAAGAGGTCCCACTTACTGGCTCGCACGCAAAAGCTAGATGGGGTGAAGGGAGGGAGAGAGGGATGGAGGGAGGGAGGGGGATGGAGAGAGGGGGATGTTAGCTGGATAGTTGTATTGGCGACCCATGTCAGAGATATATGGGTTTTGTCAGTAACATGTTCATTTGGAGTCTGAGCCAAGACATAGTTGGCTGACAGGTTTTGTTCTATATATAAGCCATGCAAATTCAAATGTTGAATATATACTATTAGTGGATTCGGCCATTTCAGCCACCCCCATTGCTGACTGGTGTATGAAATCGAGCACACAGTCATGCAATCTCCATAGACAAACATTGGCAGTAGAATGGCCTTACTGAAGACCTCAATGACTTTCAAAGTGGCACCGTCATAGGATGCCACCTTTCCAACAAGTCAGTTCGTCAAATTTCTGCCCTGCTAGAGCTGCCCCGGTCAACTTTAAGGGTTGTTATTGTGAAGTGGAAACATCTAGGAGCAACAACGGCTCAGCCGTGAAGTGGTAGGCCACACAAGCTCAGAGAACGGGACCGCCGAGTGCTGAAGCACGTTGTCACGCTCGTTGAAGGACGGGTCAGACAAAGGCGCAGCGTGAAATGTATACATGTTTATTATAAAGATAAACACACGAACAAAAACAACAAAACAACGTAACGTGAAGTCCTCAGGCAACACAATACAAGTCTCTACACGGAATAAGATCCCACAACTAATGATTACCAATAGGCTGCCTAAGTATGATCCCCAATCAGAGACAACGAGCGACAGCTGTCTCTGATTGGGAATCACACCCGGCCAAACATAGACATACAACACCTAGACATAGAAATAACAACCTAGAACTCCACACCCTGACTCAACATACTAGAGTCCCATAAGTCAGGGCGTGACAGTACCCCCCCCCAAAGGTGCGGACTCCGACCGCACAAACCTGACATAACAGGGTAGGGTCCGGGTGGGCATTCCGCCTCGGAGGCGGATCCGGCTCCGGGTGTGACGACCACATTCTCTCAGCCTCCCCGTAGCGCCCCTGGTCTGGTCTGGACCT